AAGAATTAAAAAAAACCCCATGATTCTCAGAGAAGTTGCAGAGGAAGAACAAGAATTAGATCTTTCTCTAGATATAGGTTGATGTAAGGGATGATTTAGAAAGCAATATGAATGTAAAATCCCAGGTTTGCTCACACCAGTGTACCTGTAATTCTATTTCTATCCATCTTGACACTGTGAAGATGCCATTCAAAGTCCCGCTCTTCTTTGTTTCTCTCTTCATACTGCTATCTGTTGTCCTGTCATAGATCTACTGTGGCTTGTTCTGGACCACTGCCTGAAGCCAAGTATCATTTTACTACAGGATACCTATGTTTGAACTCTCCTCAGGTTTTTCCTCTCCCGTGTATTTCTATCTCAAGTTTGTGTTAGAACATGTCTTTAAGTGTAGCTGGCAGCAAGTTAAAGGCTGTGACTTGCCTTAGCCCAGAAAGAGCTCCAGGAGTTATTGTGGCTCAAACCTCTGACAGACCTCTTCTCAGGGTTTGAAAGCTGTCAATTTCTTTTGCCCTGTGACAGGACTGAAGACCTCTGTTCACCTGGGTGCCTTACCTGGCAAAAGCTAGGGAATAACCACCCATCTAGGATCCCATCTCTCTTCCTTACCTGCTCTGCTGGGCATCACTGTCAGAAAAGGAACATACAGAAGATGAACAGAGCTACATGCTGTATGTAATGTCTAAGCAGACTTCAGGGAAATTCAATACATAGCCTATTCTAAATTTCCATCAATTTGGAAGCAGCAGTTTTCTTCCAAAATGCAAACAATATCAGAAATTCAGAACTTTTCTTCTGATGTGTAAGATAATTTCATTTGCCCTGTGTGACATGTCTGCCCAAGACAGTGATGAGCAATTCACACTATTTTAGGCTGACTACTGTACAGCCAATGGATAGAGATGGACTGGAAGCCTAAGCAAAAGTATCTACGTTGGGAGGTTTTAATGTGATACTTACTGCTTGTCTTTTGCCATTCAGTTCCCAAAATACAGCACAGGTGATTGAAGCAATTTTCCTGAGGAGGGAAAGGGGCACCATGTGTTTGTGGAAGGGAAATTTTCTTCCTGAGTGCGGATATATATTCCAGCAGTATAGCAGAACTATAGGTAACTGGATTTCTGTAATTTGGAGGAATAAAAATAATCACAATTGGTAGGCCAGAGAGGAAGGATCTGTTTATTTAAAACCTGTTTGAGACATACTCAAATAAAACTTCAAATAAAATCAACCATACTTGGTTTATGGATGTAAAACTGCAAATATCTTCCAACAAATCTTATGGTTCATTAATATCCACAGTAAAATTAAGGCAGGTATTTCATGAACTTTTACTTACTCACATGGAATTTAAATGGATCCCAGTGGCTGACAGGTTAAAAGTGAGAATACCTGACACACATATCCAGCAGAGTTTAACTAATAATGTAGAAATAATATATGTGTACATACTACTATTCTTGTTCCAGGTTACTGTCTTCGAGGGTAGCATAATTGTAGTCTAGCTTTGCACAGTGTTCTTGACCTGCAATCAAATTTCTTTCATCTCTCATTATGTTAATTAGAAAATAATGTTAGAAAAGGTGAGGAAATGAATAATCAACTTGGCAAATCCACAGCCAGATTGACAGGTTTTTACTTATATTACCATGCTCACAGTTCCAGTGACACTATTTAAATCCTGGTCAGAACTGTACACCAAAAAGACATCTGCACGAAAACTCTGATTTTGGATACTCTGTATTTTTGAGACATTTGGATTTGGATTCTCATCTGTACTTTGCCTCTAACTTAAGTGTAAAACCAGCGAAACTAAATCTCTGATTTAAACAGACTATGGCTTTTAAATTTGCAGTCAAAATGGAAATATCTGATTATTTCCAGTCACTTAACCTTTTATAAAGAAGGAAACCAAAATAATAGAATATGAGCAAATATGACAGAAAAGAAAAAGAAAAATATCTAAGAAAAGCTTATTCTGGTTTTGTTATGTAATTATTCCACATTTGCAGCTTTCACCTTTCCAAAATCTGAAGAAACACTTGGGTTCATGAGAAAACAAATACAGTTCTTAAACACATCTCCAGAAAACAAACAAACAAACAAACAAACAACAAACCCTGGCTATATTTAAACTCCAACTGTATTTCATAAGAATCATGGAAAATATGAGAGTGCACCTAATAATCGTATATATATTGCAAGTCAATTTTATTTGGGGTTATCTATTACTGCAAATGTATCAGTTTGGGTTAGAAAGAATTTTGGAAGCTATTAAGACAGAAATAAAGATCTGATAAAATCTTAGGATGCACTAATCAGTTCCCGAAATCAAGCAGAGGATATAGTTTATGACAGTGATTTCCAACAATCCTAACAGCCTCTTTCTTTACCTAGAAGCAGAAATTATTTCAGTTACATTTTCACTAGAGTTTTCTCATATGAACAGTATTTTTTTAGCTTATACTTACTGCATGTACTCTAACTTAAATCCCTTGCAAGAAAAAGAAAAACATTCTTGATATTTACAGAAGAACATGCATTTAGAACGTGTGATATGAATTGGAGGGAGGTCGTGATTTATACAGATGTTGTCTCACAAATGGAGTTCGTTACCCGTTCTCCATTATCCACAAAGCTGCTGCCATCAGTGAATAACTCCGAGACTGAACACTACAAATAAACAGATTATCATGTGTATGCAATATATGACCCCTAATTTGAGGATCTACAGAATGACAGATTGAAAAAAAAAGAAAAAAAAAATCAAAGAATGCATTGCCTGCAAATATTACGGTGCTGTTTCCTACTGTGAAATGTTTCAAGTCAAACCTATCTTGTGTCATACTCTTTCTCTTCTACACATTACAGCTTTCAAATTCTCAAATTATAATGCCATTTATTTCTAAAAAAGCTCTTTTTAAAAATATCCATGAGACTCCTCTGAGTATCTATGCTTATTTGCATTGTACATATTTTGTGCAGAGGAAATGTATCTCCAAAGATCTATTTAGAATTGTCTTGAGCAGTGTATTCTCTAGTTCAATCAAAAAAAGTATCTACATGGAATAAAATGTGTGAATAGAATTCAATACATCATGAACGCTCATGGCAGAGGGGTTGGAACCAGATGATCTTTAAGGTCCCTGCTAACCCTTCCCATTCTATGATTCTATGATTCTAAATAATCTAACACTAAAAAAAGTTCTAATTAAGTTCTGCTAACTTAGTTAGAGAAAGAAAAGCCTTTATAAAAATCTGTGAAATGACAAATTTTACACCTTCTATAAAAGAATGAACAAAGTCATGCTGCAATAAAATGAAAATCAGAAATTTAACTCGACCCTTGAGTGCAAGCTTGTACATACTATCTGTATGAGAACAACCCACAGGAAGAAGTTACAGCAAATGTGCTTGTGTGTTTTCTTGTTCCTAACAACACAGAACAAGTGCATTGAGAAGCCAAACAAAGTACTGCAGTGTAGTACAGGTAGGCTAGCATTATCAGATGGGCAAGAGAAAAGTTGGCTTCTCACTCCTGTCTATGTTCAGTAGGAACTAACGTCAGAGTTGCCTTGGACTTCTTTGAAAATCTTAGTAATGTCTTTGAGATATGTTTCCATTTAAAAGATAATGTTCATTTAGAAATTCAGTTCACACATGGGTAATTCAAATATCACTGTTATTTAGAAGTTCTTGTGTATGTGACAGAGGACTAAGAGTCTTTCACGGCAACTACTATGTATGCAATATCTCACACTATATATTTACAAAAGGAAGCAGCGTTCAGAGATCTCTGATTTAGTTTAACCTCAGTTTTTGAACGGAAAAATTTACTGAAGACAGGAACAGAAATACTTCTTGCTACACTTATAAACATAGCAGATACAGAGAAATATTTTACTGATAAACATCTGAAAACTTTTAGAAGTGAGCATTTGCCTTGAGAACTTTTTGCTTTCATTGTACATATTCTTGATGAGAAGAAATATGTGCTTTTTGGGACTGCAGAAGAATCTAGCATTCAGTTTAATATTGAATTATTTATGAAAATAGGTTATACATGATTAATAGATTTTTATAAAATAACCAGTTATTAAAAGTCCAGCATTCTTATGGACTGCTTACAACATCATTATTACTTTGTTATAGAATTGATGCCTGTAGCCATCAATAATATTCATCATTTTCAAGTATAGGACACAAGTATAAAATCTATTAACCATGCATTAACCTGTTTTAATTGGAACTTTTATTTATAGTGCAACCAAATTAAATTTATGATTTTCAACTCAAGTAATATGTTTCAAATTCTGAATGTAATTCTTTATGATATAGGGAGTTATCAAGCACTGAGACTTGGTTTGTAAGACATCTAAATACTCATATCCTAGATGTGTGAACACTTCAGTTTAATTAGTCTAGTTCTGAATGTTTTTATACTGATAACGTACTTCAAATATAAAGTCTTGTTTTCAGAAAAAAATGATATGTACCACTGTTTTTATAGCTTTTTAAAAAGAAAACAAAATCTGGGAAAATATACAATTTCTCAAAAAAAATACTCCCAACCTCTTAGCATTCTGTTTCCCACTTGTAAATAGTATAGCCTTTTACCACTATCTCCTCTGTTTTACAAGAAAATATGCTTCAGCCACTAGATGAATTCTTTTCATTGGCAGTCAATGATGTGATACTGGAAATGATTTTGTAAAGAACACTCTGAGGTGGAAAGTGTTTGGGTTTGTTCCTCTTGGTATATGGTTTCACTGGATAACATTTTTTAGAAAAACAAGAAACAAAAGTAAAGCAAAACAAAAATCCTCCCTGGGACTGAAATACTTTGTATGTGTTGTTATTTGCAGTGCATGCCAAGACATTCATGGGCACCAGAGCCAACCTGGCGAGATAATTAAATATATAAATGTATGTGTTTAAAACAGCCTTATAAGGAGCATTGGAAATCTGCAAGATGAGCGAATATCTTATAACTTCTTCCGCAGGTGCGAGGATAGCTACAAGCCATGGACTTTCTGTCCTGCTTCTTGTTTGTGGCTTTGTGAAGGGTGCTTTGCTTTAATCTAAAAGTGCTGACTTTTTCCAATATCACTTTCTCTTCTTAAAGCAAAGAGCAAATCGCCTGTAAAATCCACGGAGCGGACAGCAAAGCTGACCCTAACCTCCAACCACCACTCTGCACCCAATGTACTCTAAATCTCTACACAAGGAGCACCTTCTTCAGGAAGTACAAATAAAAATACTAAATAAATAAAACAAATTAATAAATATTATAAAAAGAAGAGGATACCACATGTTTTCTTGATATATCTTATTTTCTTTGGCATATCACTAATCATTTATTTGAAGAGAACTTTTGTGATGTAATCAAATGTTTTGTAACAGAAAGATCTAGTTTCCTTTTCTTTCGGCAAGTAGAAGCCTCGTCCTTGACTTCTCAGGGGTTGGCCTGCGAGTCATCAGTATTACAGAATTATCCATGGATGACATTTGGTTTCCTATGCTGAAAGAACCGTCCCAACCTGGAAGAAAACAGAGGCCAAGTAATGAAAAAACATAGTGATTTAACATTGATCCCAGTAAAACACCCCACAAACTTTATCAAAAGCTTTTTTTTTTTTTTTTAAAACAAATGAGGGTATTTTTCTTTTGAGTTCTTTGGGTTTTTTTTTATTATTTCTTTTCCCCAGTGGGGTTTTTTCCTGTACTTTTTTGTTTGTTTCTTGTTTAATGTTGGCAATTACTGACTTAGGCCAACCCCTGATGATTGTGTGGAGGTTTATATATATACATCTCTTTTCTTTTGTGTGCGTTCTATATTTCAGTGTGTTTTCTCTAATTTTGCAACTCCTGTATATGCAAAACTAACTTAAATTCTGTAAATTGCTTACAGTCTGTGTGAAATAACTTCAGAGTAGACATACTTTGGTCCTCATGCAAGACGGTTTTTAATATTATATATATGTCGTGCCACCAATAGACATCTTTATTTCCTTTTTTTGACCAAGTGTCACTTTTTAGTTTGTATTTCAGTACTGTGTGGATTTTGTACTACGTACCTTCACTTCCACTGGTATGACCCTTTTCAGCCCTCTGTTTACTCTGTAAATGGACATTAAAATTTGTTATGGTCTCTAGACAATGAATTATTTCAGTTTTGTGTATGTTGTGTTGGAGTTCAGATGCTGAATGCTGTATTAATTTGTGATGTTTATAGAGGATGAAGTGATTTGATTGCTAGAGACTGTAAAATGCAGGTTTGCAGTCAAATACTGCATGTAAAGGAAGATTAGAGGGGGAAAACTGTCAAATAAAACAGAACAAGGCTTAAAGGTTGCTCTTTTGCTAAAGAGTTTTAAGAGAGTGGATTTATTACACAGATAAACTATATTTGCATCACAGCTCCTTCTACATGGCCAAAGAAATGTCTTTGCTTTTTCTGGAAGTGGATTGTCATTACTCATTGATATTCTCAATTAAAATACTTTGTCTGTGAACTGAATGTGAGAATTTTGCTGTTGAATGAAGTAATATGCATTACATGAATAACATTCATTAACGCAGGAAGGAAAAATTGCTACCATTTGCAGCTGCAATCAGGAAGGTTTTTTTCTTGTTCCCGTCCTTCCACTGATGCTGAAAAATTCACACCCTTTCATTTATCAGCACAGACAATCACGTATACATACTTATTATGATCTATTTACAGCAGCATTAAGTAGCTGCAGTGTGGTCAGCTGTGTGATTTCTCCTCATTTTGTAAGTAAAGTAGAGGAAGTAAAAAGGTTCGTTTAGTATCTCACCAGTCCATGGTCTACAGGCCTAACATTTTATGTCAAAATGCCCGTAAGTCTGAGGTCTTCCTCCATTCATTTGGAAGAGGAAAGAACAAACAGTAGCATAGAATCCAAGAGTAATACACTAATGCTTTGGAAGAGGATAACGTATTTGTGCAAGTCTTATTTCCCCCAAACCATACATTCTGTAAGATAAGTTTGGCTGGGAATAGTCAGTCTGTCTTTGGCTTTAGAAAAGTCTTAGCAGTAATGAAAAGAGGAGATGTTTGATCTAATACAGATAAATCAGGAATAATTTTCAGGAGAAAAAGGGAAAAGTTATTTTATTCCAACATAAAATTAATGAGCCACTAGGAATATTGTGTGTGGAAAAGGTTTTGCTCCATAGTAATAACAGTTTATCAGCCTACTGACAAAGAAAATAGAAACAGTCTCCATTAAAGTGTTCTGAATCAAAATCAATATTATGGATCAAAGAGGAAGTAGATGGAAAAACATCCAGAGCTTTTTGAAGTCTCATTTTCCAAACACACCTTTGAAACCAAATTTTCAGAGCTCTGGAGGAAAGGCTACATTTTAACTGTGAAATAGTTGCCAGTGACTGGACGCTGTGAGAATCTCCCATGTGGAGTTCAGAAACCTCAGTTTCCATTGGTCTTAACCAGAACCAAATGCTTCACATCACGTTTCATACGTTTATTGTATACATATACCTTGTATGAATATTTCGTGTATGCACACAGCCATATGGACAACCTGCAGTGACATGCAGCATTTTTCAGTAACAGTTTAGCCTCTACGTTGTTAAAATTAACTCCTGATTATTATGTTAAACTGATACTGTGTTTTGCTTTATCCTGTTAGCTGCTTAGATATCAATCACCAGTAAGATTAAAGAACCAGCTGAAATTAAAAGCAGAATTCTAGACCACTTGGACTAGTGTGATACAACTCAGAAGATATTACCAAGGAAAGTGCCCTATTGTGACCTGCTACCGTTCTTCAACATTGTCAGCAAAAAATGGACAAAAGAAATCTGTCAGACTTTTGAAAACCTTATAAATCTTGCATAAGATCCTAAGAGGATACAGTAGTTGTCTTCCTTGAGATAATAAACTCAAATTCTTCAGATGAGCCTGTTGCTGTCATTCTGGTTGCAGATCTAGAGCCTAGCTTTTCAGTTTCTGCCAAGCTGTGTGGATGTAGCAGCAACTTCTCCTACCAGGAACAAGTATTGCATTTCTGAACGCGATGCTGTGTCTTAAAAGCTGTTCAGGAATCTGCCTGAAGCTCTGACAAATTCTCAAAGTGGAAGTTAAGCTGCAATAGCCCCCCTTTTTCCTAAGCATTTAGATATGAATTATATTTGGTATAGGAATGGAGCTACTGCCATTTTCTTCTCTATCCCAGTTCTAGTTTGGATTTAACAATAATAGAGAAAAATACTGGCTTAATTACATCCCTAAAAGCTCTGTTGAGTTAGGTATCTAAAACGGCAACTTGCATCTAGCAGTGGAAAAATGTCTCAAAAACAATGTTCTTAACACTTCTACAAAAATAATCTAGATTTGAGGTGGTCATTTACATGACATGTGCTTCTCTTTTGGTGTCCCCAAAGCCTCATTGCGTATGTGACTTTCTTCAGATTGTTCCAACAGTTTTTGGTTTTGATAGAAGAGTAAACATGGATGAGTATGAAACACGTTTGTATTTCAAGGTATATGCCATCTAAATACAGCTCATACACTTTGAGATGTTTTGTCTTGTGAAGCTAAAAGAAACATATTCCAAGTCCATTAAATGTCTATGACAGCTTTTGTACTACATCATAAAAAAGAGATCTATAGCACTTTTGTACTACTATCAAAGTTTACCACTGCTATGGAGCCTGTCCCATAAATTCTCCTCCCTTTCAGTGGTTACCAATGTTCTTTTCTCTGGAACTTCATACATGGAAGTTGCTGCATAACATGTTTGAACTTTCCTTTCTTAATTACCTTTTGTAGATGCTTCAGAGAAATTTATGGAGCAGAAGGGGTGCTCAGACCGTAGATTTAAAAAAGCTTGGCAGACTAATTGAAAATTGACTGTATGTTCGTCAGAACTGCCGTTACGAAAAGTACTATATAATTTGAATAGTAAACACTGAATCTACCATGAATTATTATTATTTCTTTTTCATTCTCAATAATGAATATTTATATTACAGAACTACCCAAAGGCAAAGATCAGAAGTAGGTACAAACATAGGAGGCATCACAGTAAAAGCAGCAGTACTGCTTGGAGGTTCATACCTATGCATGTAATTTAGCGCTGATGAAATTTTCTCACATTTCTTTAAAGTATTTTTGCTTCATTCAAATAAAATGAGGAACCAGTGGACACTGCAAAAGTCTGTATGCTTGCCAAATATTTTTTGTTGTTAATCATTTAACTTCTAATGATCACTACACTGATGTCATCATTTAATTAACCATTAAAAAAAAAAGACCGCACTGCTGCCAATCTTCAACTCCTTCCTCAAAAAATGGAAGAGAAAACAATTCAAACCTTTGTTATTTGCAGGATGGGGGAACATTTGTCCATGACTTTACTATTGGTAAAATGTCAAATGATGTTTACAGAGCTGAAAGCATTATTAATCAAGAATGGGATCAAAATACTTTGCAATATAAATTTTTAAAGGTTAATCTTCTATGATTAGCTTAGTTGAACAATGCTAAGCACAAAGTAAATTGTTGAATGTAAGTCACCATAAATGGTTTCAGTCTTTTGTTCTGAGCTTTGTAAATATTAATTTATTTGATTTCATAATCATAAAATTTGCGTATACATTCACATAGTTGAAATATTACACATAGTTTTCTTAGTGATCTTCATCTAAACATTACGGGAAGATAACAGTAAAGAAGAAAGTTAAATTTGTCTGTAATAATGACTTACGATCAATCAGTAGAATTACTTGTACAGAAAGAGAAATATGCTTTCTTAAGAGTCACGTGTAATTTCTCTCTTATTTTATTTTCTCCTTTTTGTGCAGTTCTATTTTTGCCAATGCTTCAATCTAAGACAGAAAATGATACTGTATTTTTTATTGCTCACTTCTTACATGGTAACAGATGACAAAATAATGTAATCTTTGTTATGAAAGAAGCTGGGGGGAAAACAAATTTTTTTCATTTGACAACAGTCTAAATGTTTACAGTGTCCTATCACCTCAAAATATCTCTGCTTGTAGGTTTACAGGGAAGGAGCGACAGAGAGAGTGTTTTGTGTTTCAGCTTGACTTCCCAACTTTATGTGTTTTCTCACTTAATTGTCATCCTGCAGCTAAGGACAGGACTCTTCTGTAAGTTTCACAAGTACAGTAGTTTTCCCTGTAACTACCAGTGGCAGATTGGTTTGAGTTTTGAAATCATAAATACTTGCAACTCAGAATATGTTTCACACAGTTATAAATATTACTAGGAATGGTCTTTATTAAAGTTATAAACCAGTCTGGAAGAATATCACAAACTAGCAATCTCTCAAAAGTTTTGAAATATGACAAAAACTTTAATAAAAAAAAAAAGCATTTGGTGGGATTTTCTTTTAAAGTTTTATTGTAATTCACTCTTATCCATGTGGCTATAAAAACTCTAGATTTGAATTCCAACTATATTGTGCTGACAATACAGAGGGTCTTCAGATGGAAGCAAATTAAATTTTCAATTACTGAAATAATCCTTTACATTGACATTACAACACAGAAGGAGGTCTTATGTGTATAGGAGACTATTCACAGTCACAGCTCATAAGGAAACCAAAAT